AAATCAAAGATGCAATGAAACGGGACAACCACACTTTACTTACAAGTGAAAACACAACGACAGCAATTGCAACAAGACAGCGAAAAGTGGCGACAACGACGAACGGCAACATTAAAAAAGAAGAGACGAACGGCAAAGTTAAAAAAAAAAAGAGACGAACGGCGATGTTAAAAAAAAAAAAAAAAGTAAAAAAAAAAAATCTGTGTACGTATATCTATTTATTTTTTTATGTTGATCTGTGAAACAGGAAATCAAGTGATCCCAATCTAGACCGGAGATCGATTGATCATATGACCCGGAAAATCTCACCTACATCCTGGATCTGTCGCCTTTTATTGTGATGCTTCTGTTAATGGAATGGTCATCCTACTAATAGTCGATAGTGGTTCCTCGAACAGCGTTGTTTTAACTCCCTTCCTTCAGGAAGTAGATATAAAAGTCAAAAGGCTATCTACAGTTAATATGATAAACATTCACGGGCAAAGTAGAAGAGCAATTGGAGAAATTTCTAGTTTCTCTTTCTTAGTAGGAGGACTGACAGTCTCTGTTGACGTTATCATCACAGATGCTTCTTTCTACAAAGCTATTGTTGGAAATGACTAGCTTTCCAAAGTCAATACAAAGATTGACTATACCAAATCGGAAATGAGCTTCATTTAAAAAAATGAAAAGGTAGTTGTTCCAGTTGAATTCCGAAAATTGCAGTATACACCTTTATAAGAAAGTCGCCCTACCCGAATAACAAAATGTGAAGAGAAATCTGAGTCAGAAGAAGAAGAATCCAAAAGTAAATATGAGGATGAAGAACTAGAAGACCAAATCTTTGGTTATTCTGAAGAAGATGAATCTTTGTTCCAATATCCCCACTATTCTCTTAACTCATATCAAGATTCTGATGAGGAATCAAATCATTCTAACTGTAATATCTCTCTTCCTGAACTAAGTAGCTATGAGGTATGTGAAACCTAAACAGTAATAATGATTATCTAGATGAGGATATCTATAAATTAATTTTTGAAGAATCCAACGAGGAAAAAGATTTTTACCTCGACGAAATTGAGGAAATTTCCTATGAGTTGAATATTGGTAAACTTAACTCGAAAGACAATAACTTGTTGCAACAGTTGTTGTCAACCTATAATGACATCTTCGCCTGGACCTTATAAGACTTAGGGTATACAAGTTTAGTTACCTATAAAATCTATACTGGAGACGCCACTCCTATTAGACAAAAATCTTACTGCACCTCTTCTAAAAAAAGAGAGTTTCTGGACAAGAAAATCAGTCGTATATTATACAAGGGCATCATCCAGCTCTCTGACAGTCCGTGGGCTTCTTCCATTGTTTTGGTTAATAGAAAGACAAGACTTGATTTTGTATCAACTATCGTCGAGTAAATGCTATAACAAAAAAAGACAGCTATCTGTTGCCTCGTATTAATGACCTTCTTAACACCTTGGCCAATTCTGTTTGGTATACCTTACTTGATCTTGCTAGTGGTTATTGGCAAATTGAAATGCACCCAGAAGATCGAGAAAAAACCGCTTTTACTTCCCAATACGGAATATATGAATTCAACGTCATGCTATTTGGCTTGACTAATGCTCCAGCCACCTTCCAACGATTAATGGATACTCTCTTAAGAGATATCAATGGCAAATTTGTCATTGTCTATCTAGATGATATTAACATTTTCTTCTCTATATTTGAAGACCATCTGCTTTACTTGGAAGAAGTTTTTCAGCGACTCAGAAATGCAGGTTTAAGATTGAGCTCTCATAAATATCACTTAGCCAAAAGAAAACTTAAATTCTTAGTCTATACTATCAGACCAAACGGTATCTCTACCAACTCTAAAAAGGTAGAAGCTGTTAAGAATTTTCTGATTCCGAAAATCTTCGACAAATATGCAGATTTCTAGGCCTCGCGTCTTACTATCGAAGGTTCATCCAGAATTTTTCAAAAATTGCTGCTCCACTCAATCTCCTGTTAAAAAAAGACGCCAAGTACAAATAGACTTCCAAACAGAATAAAGCATTTAAGATTTTAAAAGAAAGACTCATATTAGCTTCCATTCTGGCTTATCCGGATTTCTCAAAGGAGTTTCTTCTTTTTACCAATGCTTCTGGATTAGCACTAGGGGCTATACTTTCTCAAAAGGATAACCAAAATAGAGAAAGGGTCATTTATTATACTAGTAGAACCATGACCAATGCAGAGAAAAATTACTCTGTCACTAAACAAAAATGTCTGGCTGTCATTTGGTCAATCTCCTATTTTCACCAGTATCTCCACGGCTTTCATTTCACTCTTATCACTGATCATTCGGCTCTTAAGTCCTTATTGAAGTATAAACTTCCTCAAGGACGTTTTGCTAAATGGATTCTTGCTCTTCAAGAATACTCCTTCACTGTAGTCCACAGTACTAGTAGACAATATTCAAACGCCGATAGTCTTTCTCATCTTATCGAAACTTCCAATCAGCTCTCTGAATTCTGACTATCGATTGTCATCCCCAAATTGCTATTCTTTTTATCATTACTCTTTTATTTTTATTTCTTTACTTTATATTTTTTTATACTCCTTATATACATCCATATGGAGCTACAAACTTATTAGCTTCTTTTTCGCTATCTAAACGACCCGAAAATACTACAAAATTTAGATTCCCATTAGTTAAAAATTTTAAAACAACGAACCTAACATTTCACTATTGAAAACAACCTTCTATATAAGAAACACCAAAGAGACCATAATTGACTTTTGAGAATATTATTACCCCACGAAACTGAAGCGATACTTTTTAGTATGTATTCAGATCCATTGTCAGGACATTTTAATTATCTATCTACATTTTAACATATTGCACTCAGATATTTTTGGCCTCAAATGGGTGAAGATATTTGAAATTACGTCAAGTCATATAATGCTTGCCAATGTTTAGATCGCTCCAGGACTAGAGAACCACTTTATCCTATAAAAGTCAGACAACCCTTTGACCGGGTTGGTATTGATTTGGTGGGACCCTTGGTTCCTATACAAAAAGGCAATCGATATATAGTAGTAGCCACTGAATACCTTACCAAATGACACGAGGCCCACGCAATACCTAATGCCATGGCAGATTCTGTTGCTTCATTTCTCATAGATAATATTATTTGTCGTCATGGCTGCCTCAAAATATTTTGTCAGACTGAGAAAACCATTTTGATAATCACCTAATAGACACTATTTCTACTCAGCTAACATTCCACCATCACTATTCAACTACTTATCATCCCCAAATCAACAGATTGGTAGAGCGTTTCAATAGAACATTATGCGAAGTATTGTCCAAGTATACTATTCAGTTTTCTGGAGATTGAGATCAATACATATCTTCAGCTTTGTTTGTCTATCGAACTACTAAACACGCTACTATGCAACATAACCTGTTCTTCCTTATGTATAGAAGAGATGCTGTATTACCTAACGATGTGATAGCTTTAACTCCGGCCCTTCCTCTGGCTAATGAGATTGAATTACAAGAAAATCTCATGAGACGTATAGAAGTTTTACTTGGAGAGATATCAAGGTTACGAAAAGAGGCTCAAGATCGAATTAGGAGGTTCCAGAGGAAACAACAAGAATGACATAATCGAAAATTTTTGCTCGAAACTTACTCTATTGGTGACCGCGTTTTAAGATATCGTTCTGAACTCCAAGGAACTCACAAAGAGAAGCTTGAAGAAAAATGGATGGAATCTTTCTTTATCCACGATGTTCTGGAGTATGGTGTTTACAAACTTTGATCCTTCGATAATCAGGTACTGAAGCAAAAAGTTCATAGTAACCAGTTGAAATTATATCATGAAAGAATTGAAGAAAACTTTCTTCTTAATTCCTCGCAGGAGCTCGATTCTTAAGAGAAGGAATCTGTTACTGAAATTTTTTTCGATCTGATGTTTCGGCACTTTTCTAACTCTTCTATGATTGATTAGACTTGTTTAATCGATTGTACTACTTTTGTTATCTCTTATTTATTTATTATGTTTATCATTTCTATAATATTATTTATTGTTATCCATATTAATGTCTTGCATCCCCTAACAGAACTCTTTTCGATGATCACTTGGACCAAATTTTCTGACAAAAAGAAAAGCCTTTTTCAATACTGGAGAGTAGTAACCTGTAGTGAGGTGAATTCAACAGGGCAGTTTTTATAAAGGTTAACCTTTCACTATTCTTGGAGACTCCTTTATATATTCGACATGCAAGCCAAAAGCATCTGTATACAAAATAACTGGCAGAAGATGGTGCCCTTGTATACGAAATTTTGGTGGATAGGTGGAGGTGATAGAAGTCCAAGCCTTCCATTGACGAAGCTATCGGTTGCGAAACAACTGGGGAACAGTAAAGAATGGGCTTTTTTTAAGCCGCACTCCTTTTTTCTGGCCAAGTGGTGTCTACTATCTTTTTCTCGCTTCCTTGCCTTTCTTCCAAAATTTTTTAACAAAAAGTAGGGATTTGGCTTACCCCCTCCAAAAGATTGGCATTGTTTACTTTCCAAATTTAGACGGACTAGTAGATTGCAACCATGTGTTTGTTTACAGACGGATATGGCGCTACTACATGGGACTCGGCCCGAGAACTCTAATTATGGCAAAAGAGAGCCTTGATATAGGTCCTCGGACAACAGAGCTATCCAAATTCGGTGGGAAGGTCAGAAAGTTAACTTTAATATTAATGTAGAGTTTTACCTTTACAAGAGAGATATACAAATATTGCATTTGTTATATAATTTTTACCAATCTTGCATGGGTTATAATAGTGCCTTTAGAGTCTTAGTTTTCTTTTCATGTTTTTTCTTTTTCAAAATCTGTGTTTATTTTTTCTTTTTGTTTGTTTTTCTTTTTTG